AAGCTGTAGTGAGTTTCGAGCATGATGAACAGCCCAGTGATTTGAATAGTGATTGCTATCGTGAGCTAAACAAATAACCTGAGGGATATTCCCTTTTTCTCCTGCTGGCCAAAAAAATCTCCAAGCATAATTTTTATGGATTGTCAGTATGAGGGATTTTTAAAGAATTTACAACCTGATTGTCAAATGATAAGGTGCCCAAATATGGAGGAATCATAAAATCTTTTTCCACTTTGAATTTTGTCTTTTGGCAGAAGAAAATGAGATAATACTGAATTGCAACCATTTCATTCTGGTTTTCTCAAGCTTCACACTCAGGGGACCTCAGTAGAGTATGGGTAACTATCGAAAGTTTATGCCTGTTCCATTAACTTGTGTGAATTTAAAAATGTATTGCCTTGTAATATCAGCAAAAGCTTCTTCTCTAACAGAAAATAACTATATCCTGAGGGAAACTCGGTAAATGCAAGTTAAGCAGCAAGGTCTTGAAATTATCATTAGTAATGATTTTTGTTTCTTTTCTTGAATTAACCAGATGGGCTGTTGCCCGTCTGTTTAATTAATCAGATGGATTTTTACTTTTTTTTTTCTTGATTTTCAATTTATTTTCTATTGAAAGAAAGCAGTTTGTGAAGGTCATGATTATTTCAGGTTACTGTTGACAGAAGTTTAATGTTCTCCTTATGAATTCAAGTGGGAAGGTTTGTGCACTTTAAGACCATCAGACCAATTATGATCTGGCAACCAGAGCATACAAATTTTCTATTTTGCACACTTTTAAAAAGCATCATAAAAATGCTGTGTGCTTGGATTCTATGAGATCATTTCATTCTAGCTGGAAAACATAAATTTTGTCTTGAAAATTTAACAGTAATGAGCAAATTTCAACAGTAATCTGGGCCTCTTAAACACTCATTTTATCAGGGAATTTAGTATCTGAGTAATGAGGCTTCCTACCCTCTGTTTTTTAATAACTATATCTGATTTAACACCGCTAAAAATTCTTCTGACATCTGAATATCTCTGTTTTACCTGATATTCATAAAACTTTGTATGATAGGTAACCAACAGCCAATACAATTGTGACTGAGTTCTCTACTTATTAATCACATGAAATGCACCTTGTTTCTCAAAAAAATCGCACAAAGTCATGTGTCTTTCAAATTAAGGACAAAAATTTTGAAGGAAACAAACCAAATTTTCATGTGCTTGTTTTGAAAAAATCCTAAAACCTTTTGGATTCTTATTAAATCAAACCAACATACCGGCATTCTCAACCAGAAGAGGGCATCCATGCTTGCAACCTGATCCTTGAAGATCATATATAAACAGATATATCTATCTATTTGTCCATCCATCTATCTACAGACATAGATATGGATATAGATACAGATATATTTCTTTCTGTTAGGTCCCAGCTGTGTCAAAGAATACATTTGCTCTGGGAGGTTTCCTCTTTCAGAGTCCCATGGTATTTCCCCATGCTGGCAAGTGACAGCACATGAAGTCTAATTTTGCTGTCCATAAACCTCTCATAGAATACAATTGTCTCACTCCTGCAAAAGCTATGTTAAACCTCCCATGGTTTTCACTGAGGTCTGATACAACTCATCTCAAATTCAGAGGAGAACAAACTGATCTCAGAGAATAGGAACACACAGCTCCCCAAGGCTAAGTGTGCAAGGTCAAGCCTAGATTTTCTGAAGTCATTTATCACCACAGAGAGAGGATTTGGGATCACTAAAACCTGCTTGGCATCAATCTGAAGTCATGACTGTCAGAGGTCTTACTCTCCCCACAATTTGTTCCACAGGCATTTCACTGTTGTGATGAGGGGAGGGTGCTGTTTGTTTTGGTTTTGACCAGGAATACATTTTCCTCTCTGATGCACATAGAACTCTCATTAGAGTCTGAAACAACCATAAAATAACTTTTAAAGCAAATCTAACTTAGTGGTAGTAAATTATATGCTTAGCTGAAAAAGATCTGTGTATGGTAATATTGGAACTAAACCTCATCTTCCACAAAAATAATATACAAGTTCAGCACCAGAACACATAGGTTAGCACCAAAAGGTATCAATTGCTACCCATCATCTTAGATGTTTAAATGAGGCAGAAAATCACAAGCTGATATTATAAACAGCTGCACTCAGTAATTAATGGTAACAATTACTTCATTTTTACTCTTGCGCTTCTCACAAAATATTTACCAAAAATATTTTTAACCTTATTTTAATGTGTGTATACTTTCATAATTTTATATTTAGAACAGAACAAAAGTCTGAGCTAATTTCTCTGTCTTTAAAGGCACACCACTCTTTAATTTGTACATTAGTACAAATCTTCAAGACTAGCAGAACAGCACCTGGGAGTAGGTTGCCTCAGCATAACCTTGAACTCATCAAGAATTTTCCTCAGTACGTATCAGAGCAGATATACTGCAAAACACATGTGAACTCTTCCATATATTTAAATACTTTTGTTCTAGCAGCACTTGGTGTCAGGTAATCAATCAGGCAGCATTGACACTGGCAATAAAAGTAGAGCTTTACTGGCATTGTCATTACCCAACCCAAGAGAAAAAAGATGATAGAAATTGGAGCAATTCAAATAGGTAATACATAAAGGTCTTCAGTAAAGTACTCATTAAATAAAGTAGAAGGGCAAATTTTGTGTGGTAATCAAATATCTGACAAGCTGTAATCCTGCCTGTTCAATGAAAAATATTCAACTAATGCTTGAGTGCTTGTGGCCGGTTTTATCAGGAGCTGCTCATATGAAATAGCTTATACCCAGTTCATTTTTTGCTGCTGTCAGTTACAGTGTGATTACAATAGTTAATCCCTAGCACCATGATGGGATGTTGTGAAAAAACCTGCATACCTGTTTGTTAAAAGAAAATATTTCTATATCCACAGAAAACAAAATATTCCACAAAACCAAGGTATTTGTAGCAACTTAAAAAGTAACAGATACAATAACATATATACCCGTTATAATAATTTCAGCTGAATTACAGAACTATAAATTAATTTATAATGTCTAGTCCTGTTTGGAAAGTGTACCATACAACATACAAGTTCCAAAGTGCATAGTAATTTATTGTTAGACCTGCTGTTGTAGGCTCCACAGCTTAACCTGAACTTTTGCTTATGCTCTGCTTCTTATCTTGTATTAAAAAAAAAAAACCCACTGAAAATGGCTAGGTGCACTGTTTTTACTGTGTTGTCTTTACCTCTAGAGAAGATCTCATATGTATTTGTCCCATGCATCTTTGTCAAAAACTGGGCTGGCTGAGGGCTAGTGACCCACCTAGTAGTTTTGTCTCACTGACTTCTTTCAATGTGTACATAGATGATGCAAAGAGGTTGTGTTTCACTCCCAAAGCAGGACTGGATTTTACTCAGCCAAAGTGCTTGACTGATTTAGCACGGTCCAGGTCCAAGCCACTTGGAAACCAAAAGGAAAACCATTTACATTGTGACTGTTCGGATAAAAGTAAATAGAATATTACAAGTTTACATTTAAAATATGCACACATTCCAAGACAATATACTTGTCTAGCTATTGTCCTGTCAGATACAGAGTGTCACTAACCAGAAATGTCTAAAGAACCACAGATCAGGTGCTGAAGTTCTCTGAAGGATCAGATTATAGATAGATGGAGAGGGGTTGTTACATTTCATATGCTGTGGAGCCCATTCCCACCATAAAGCTATCTTGCTGGAGAAAAAGAATAAGGTGAAGAATTCAAAATCTGATCTTTCTTTTTATATTAACCAATATGATATTTCATATTCTGATGACAGACTGTCTCAAACACCTTCAAATAGACTGAATTAGTGAATGAAAGACACATATATATGTAGCATTAGTAAAACTATTCTCTGTTGTTCTGCTTGCCCTACTCAGTATTGCTTTCAAAGTTAATAAATTTCAGAGGTCTAAATGTAGCAGTGCGAGCAGACTATACAGATATATTTAAAGTGGAGTAGATTCTGCCATGTAATATAAAGCCAAAACTTGAGGCTATTTCAGTGACAGTAGTTGCGGCAGATGTTTGATTTCCTCCTTTTCATATCTGCATTTCAAGAAAACAACCTGTGTAATATTCTAGTTTAAAGTGTAGGTCCTCTTTATAAGCATTCTGGTAAGCACCCATAAGGCATTCAGCTTTTGTTAGGAAAGGTATGAATAAACAGATTTGGTTTTGATTAATTCATATAGATGTTTTCAGGAAATAGCGCAATGTATTTAAAAGAACACTGCCAATTACTTTAGAAATTTGGAATTTTTGTCCCAAATCTGTATGAAGTTTTAAGGTTGCCTGATGTCTTTTCATTGGAAATCCACTTACTTTTAGGTCTGATCTCTCCTTGAAAGTTTTACCTGTCTGAGTTTCAGTCAGGAGCATAGCACATATACTGGCAAACTCATAGTGTAAAGGACAATATGGATATCGTGTACTGATATATGTTGCTTTGTAGCAATGTATTTCTTTACCTTCCTTTACAAGAATAAATATACTGCTGCAAAGCACCATTATACCATTATGACTGTGTTCAGAGACACAAGAAGGTACAGTTGGTCTGTGTTACTATACCAGTATATTTAAAGTGATGTAGCTTTCTGTCTAGTTAGACTTTTAGCATGTGAGTCAACAGCCACTGCATCTTGGCCAGTGTGGTTCCTCATTCACTCTAATTTTCTGGTCTGCACATGAGCATCATTGATGATAGCAGCAGCTGCATTCTGAACTCTTGGAACACCACAAACAAATTGATGTTGTGCATGAGGTAGGTAATATCCTGCAGTTTATCTTGCACATATGTTTTCCTCTGCTCAGAGTCTCATTGACATTGCAGGTGAAAGCACAGGTGTAAATGGGAGCATGAGGACAATTTGTTCCTTTTCACGTCACACTCCATTTCTAAAGCAGAGTATTAAACAATGACCCTTCTCTTTCTGGAGCTATTATTTTTAAAAGGAAGTCATATTGTATCTTTTAATGTGTTTTTAACAGAACCTAATCTTCAGGAAGCTACACTTGCTAAGCTGAAAATTAGCTTACTCTCCATTAAAAAAATGTTAATCTAAAAGGGTTAATGTGAGTCTTAAATCCGAAAGTGTTAAAACCAAATTATACTATACTTTGGAAGCTAACTATACAAAAGCATACAAAAAGAAAACATCAGAGTATTATTACAATATCTCTCTATATATAATATGTGCAAAATTCAATATACAAGCTTCTTGTTGCTCATCCACTTTTTAAAAAAAAATAATGTAAACCTTAACTTATTTAAACCAGTATAAGTAGTTTGATGTTACTCCTGGGAAACAAAGATTGTCGGTACAAGAACCTCCATAGCTTGGAGGACAAGCAGAACATGGGACTCCTACTTTATATGGTGCTTCTCCAATCCAATTCCCCCTGAAAATAAAAAAGGAAAAAGAATGCTTAGCAATTTAGAGAGGAAGAAAAAAAATATAATTAAATCATACTTGTTTTCAAGTGCTTAAAGTTAATGTCTTCAGTGATATCCTATAAATGCCCTGTTACTGAAAATGTACATTAATGTATTTCTGCAGATTACTGATAAACACTGATCTACTGATTCCCAAAAACCAGCAGGAGAATAACCATGTCATCCCAGGCCAGTAGTCCATTCTATATCCTTTAGTGTCTCTTGCTTTTGCTACCGCCAAGTGGTTTTTTACTCTCCAAGCCTGGAACAGAGTATTTTTTACTGGAGGGGTATATTTATGGGAAATTAGCAACATAAGCATTGGTACAAGGCTTCCCCTGAGCACCGTTTTGTCTGGCAGTTATCTTAAAAACCTGGTTATGGAAGGTGGAACAAACAAACTGAGTGAAATCTTATTCTCAGGTTGCACTGCCCTGGGTCCACACTGTGAACCTCCGAGGCTGAACCGTTGGTTAGAGAAAAGGGAAGATGAAAACTATTTGCACCAGTAATGTATTAAAAAGACCTGCATTTGTAGGGGGTCTCACAGGTGTTCATGAGGAAAGAAGGAGGGCTTCCATCTGGTGAATAAAGCTGTGTAATAGAGCCCGGGGGGAAAAGGGTAGAAGTCAGGAGTGATAATGTGAAAAGGGGCAACTCCGAAAGATTTAGGAACATCTGAAAAACACATACAGAGTTTTAGGTGCTTATATAAAACCCAGACTTTTAAAGATTCATGTAACACTCATGATGTAGGTAGAAAGAAAGTTAAAATTAGATTTTGATTTCAATGTTATGTCTCAGCGACCAGAGAACTTTCCTCTAGTTTGCATGTGACATGGTACCGCGGTGAGTAATGCAATTATTTATGAAACATTTTCTCATCCCCCACCTCCCAGCCAATAGCGTTGGATCAAAAGCCCCAGTCTGGGTTGTGCCTTGGAAGAAAGTAGGAATCTCTCAAATAATTTGCTCATTCCTACTTCTCTTCCAAATGGGTACAGCAGACTGACTGCTCAGGAAACATATTTAGTTTGATAACAGATATGGAAATCCAGAAAGAGTTTCCTGAAAGCTGATTTCTGCTTCATTTGCTATGCAATGTATGGCCGTTTTGTGTGAGTCCATTAGGTAACCAGGTGCAGGGTCGTTCTAAACTTTGTAATTATTCTCCTTAACCTTTTTATCCTGATTTCAGAAGCATAGATATTTTTCAGCATTACAGCATGGCATCAGTCAAAATTATTTGAGTTCTAAACCCTAAATCTTTGCCAAATTCTAATCTTAATAACCTGAGTTGGGGCTCTAATATTTACCCCCTTCTTCTTCAGAGAAGTTTCAGATGTGCTGGTTACTCAGAAGGACACAGCCTTTATTGACTGGCAGGGACTTCTGCATGTGTGCCCAGGACTCTAAACACAATGTCCTTAACTCAATTAATTCTAAGGAATATAAATTTAACCCAGGCAAGATCACTCAATCTCCTTTTTGTGACTGTGCAAGCAGTAGATGTGAAAATCACACTTCCGCTACCTATGAATCAAAGGTCTACTCAAAATCTCATCCAGAGAAGAAGCTTGTATCTCCAGGCTTTGGTTTGCTGTTTGAGAAACAGTGGGATTTTTAGACTGAGAAAATATAAAATGTCATTAATACATTGCTAACTGATACACAAACAATGCATCAGTTTTCAATAACGCCCAATGTATAAAACAATTCAAATGAACATGAGAGATGTATTCTAGGAAATTTGATTTTTTTTTTTTCAAATGGAGATATATAAAAAAATAGGATTTGAGCTTTTCTTGCAAACATTGATTTCACCTTGTCCATGTTGTGGAGCTAAAAGTCAGATAGCTGTTGCTGCCTGATACCTCTCACATTCATTTTCTACCACCTCTTTCTAGTAGATACTAAAGACAAAAGGACAGACACGTATCCTTAATTTCCAGAGATGGGTTTTTTCCAAGTCAGTTTTCTTACTAAATCCTACCTTTCTTTTAAGTTGCAAAATCTTTAAAAACTCTTTTACTCATGTAACAGCTAGAATAATGACATATTCTTGCATACTCTTTACCACAAATGGACCTGTGCCACTGAGAGTTTATGGAAAACATGCTCGATTCAACACTTACAAAAAAGTATGGCTTTGTCTAGTATTATGCAGTCAGAGAAACCAGCCATTTACACTGTCCGTGCTGATTTTGAAGCACTCATCCAAACTAGACCTCAAATAAAAGCTCTCCCAGAGCCACACTTCATTGATTATTCATCTGCACCCAGATGTAAGTTTAGGATGATATCTAGTAAACGCACGGCAAAAATTCATTTCTTCATTACAACCTAAGACAGATTTCTGCACAGCTACCTGATATAAGGCCACCAGGGGATGTCTAAGACCTATACTTTGAAGTACCCTACTATGGAAGGCAAAATGACATTTGTAGACGCTGAGCTTAGGTAAATGGAAGGAAACCTAAGCTATGGATGCCAATATGCTTCATGGTTGTAAGCGAAGGCATATTGCGGGCAACAGCATACGTTCACAGTAAATCCAGGGTCTGATCTACAGTGGAATTGCTTACCTGAGGAAGTCTAACTCACCATAAGTATATATAACAGAGTGAAGAAATAAGGAAATTAAAGTGGAGACAGCACAAAAGAGGAAGACAAAAATAATTAATAATAATAATAATAATCAACAACAACAACAACAACAGAAAACAAGTTTTGGGGTTTGTTCCATACACAACATCAGGTTATTTCCTTTTCTTCCTTGTATAAAAAAGTCATGCATTTGCTGTATGTTCAGATGTTAAGTTAGAATAAAGGAGCAGCCCACAGAAAATGCACAAATAGAGGTCAAGCTGCAGAAAAAGGAGTAAGCTGTCCTATGAGAAGACCAAAACATGCATGAAGTATAAAAATAAACAATATTAAAAGAAAGCAACTCACTTTGGGGCATAGTTGCATACCAAGTAAACAGCTCGTCGCCAAACAGATCCCCAGACGTTCATATTGTGGCATGTGTGGATTGCGCAGCCTATACGATTGGAAGTGGCCCAAACCATCTGAATAAATATTTATTATTGGTGAAGTCCAAATTGAAAATAAATATATATATACACATTTATTTGAGATAGAGCTATAAATACATGACAGAAAAGTCCAGTTTTGGACAGTAGATTTTGAATAGAAGAGTGTAATTAATATAACCTGTGTGTAATGGGTGCACATGGGTCCATAACATCGCATGGGGCACCTTGGGTTGCACTCCTGAGGATAAGGGAAAGCATAATCCTTCACCTCATCATACCATGGCTTTACCAGCTGGAGAATAGATCGATACCTGGGTTTATTTAAAAGACAGAAAGAAAAACATAACATTTTAGATTTAGGTATTTTGGAACTTCCTGCTGTTAATCCCTCTGATGCAAGGCACCTAAATACACATTACCCCATGCATCACTAGGGGAACAGTATTAAGCAATAATACTCTTAAGCCACATGAACATAGATGGATATAAATTATTGCTAAAATACTGGATGTCAGTGTAAGATCTGGATCTCAAAGGCTGTTAGAAGACTGACAACATAACTGTTTTATAGGGTATCTGCCTACCTTCCAGTTCTTACAGACAGGTTCTGGCCCAAGAACCTCAGTAAGTAGGAAGGTCCATGGTCCCAAATGCATGTAGCAGCCCAAGCCTCTGCAGATTTGGCAAGAGTTTCATCCCAAACCTGACAAAATAAAATATCCTTAGCAGCAGAACAGTAAAAACAAATAGCAATCACAGTGCAAGAACACGAGAAGCATATATCTTAAGTTACAAATATACTACCACAACACATCAGTCCTAGCCAGGGAACTCTTGAATTCAGAAAACTGTGGGGCAGCATGCACAGGATCTAGCAGGATTTGTCCTAGCACTGGACAGAATTCCAACCCACATCATCAGAGGAAATCAACTATTCAGGTCTCTCCCTATTTTCTGGAAAAACCCTTCCCCGAACAGGCGTTCTGCTACAATTTTCCCTTCTGTGTGGATGATGATGATGAGATCCGTGTGGGGAGAGGAGTGAAACATTGGTTGCGACTCAGATGGAAGTTAAAGAGGAGAGGCACACAGAGAAGAACAATTCAGCACAGGTATTGCATACCCCACCAAACCCCAGTACATTTGAAACAGGATCCCAGGAGTATCTATAGTCAGAGTAAGCGTGTGTGGCAGCTTTTCATATTTGAGGCCACAAGGTCAAGAAAAGGGATTGCACAAAGGCAAAGACAATGGATAGTTTCCAGGTGTGGTATGAGTTTCATCATTTTATTCTACATGGGAGCTGACATTGCTCCCTGCCTAGAATAAAAATATAACCGCTCTGTAAGAAGAGACAATTTGACTTCCCAAGTTCTCCTCCAATGGTAGGAACACGCCAAGTGAGCTTAAACACTGTCTCCCTTATATGCTTTTCCTGCTCACTTACATGCTTGAATTGTAACTCCACCGTTTTCTCCACAGCAAATGGGCTTGCCTCAGCAATAACAGAGATACCAGCAACAGAACTTACTACACTGCTGGAGCTCCAGATAAATATCTCACTGTTATACCATAAGTACACACAAATCCTAGTATATCTTAGTGTTAAAGTGACACCCAAGTAGGATCTAGATCCTGGAATCAGATGTGCATTTTGAATACCCTAAGTGGAGTGTCTTGGTGCAGGACAGCTTTAGTGAATTGCAAGTAGAAAGGCTGGAACAGAACACAGTAAAAATGCCTACCCAGCCCATCACAGCTTTTTAAGCACAAACCCAAACTCACAAATAGGGGCTGGCTACAAAATAAAAACTATGCCTTCTGGGGTATGAAATAAGAGGCAAAGTCAGAATAAACTTATCAAAGGATGAGGTGGCCCACATCACAAATATTTTCTGTTCTTTGAGTTAATAATTATTTCTAATACTGAAATCAGAGTTTTAATTTCACAAATCTGCAGAGTGAATAGACTGACCACAGATCACAGAGTAGGACAGTAATTCCTGCCCTGACTCTGTCCAGTAGTTGCTGAAATTTCTCTAAGTGAAAAGAACAAAATCAAGTAAATCGTATGAAATTGCTATACCATTGAACCAAGCTTTTGCTAATATGGAGTGGGTGAGGTACCTCCTAGATTAAAGCTGAAGAAGTGCAACACAGGTCAATATGAACCCTTAACACAAATGATCTTCCATTCCAGTGGAACCACCCTATGGAAAGTAAGAGAGATGGTGCTTAAAACAGAGTGGATTTACTTTACACCTGTTTGTAACAGGTCCCAGAACAAAGGCAAAGCAAATTGCCAATAAAAGGACAAAACAGAGAAGTGTTAGGAAGAGGCATGCTAAGAAGGAGCGGTCTTCAAGCCAGGAAATACTTTGACTTCAGCTCTGAAAAATGAAGGGAGTTTCTTGGAGGAGTTAGAGATAAGGCTATAACTCGGGAAGAGAAGGCTAACCTGGAGCAGTAGGGTACAAGAGAGGGGACCTGGGGCTGCTACGGCACCATCCAAAATCCAGGAAATGATCAAGGCCCCAAGAGGAAGAAACCTGTGTACAGACATCTGTTCTGCTTTGTATCTCTGACGTTAAGTCAATTAGCTGCATGTGGGCGGCATACAAATAACTCTTTATAATGTTCTCTGTGGTATATCAGTTGCCCCAAAAATAGGGCTTAAAGAGGGGGCAATACAAGCATAAAAGTGTGCCTAGGAAGTGTGCCTGAGAGCGAGGCACAGTCAGCGCCTGGAGCCTGCCCAGGCCCAGGGGAGCAGAGGAGTGCATGGACCAAGCGCATGGGTCCAGACACAGCTGCCCGGTGTGCAGCTGTAAGGGGCAGCTCCGCCAGGACTGTGACACCCCATAAACACCCTCCTTTGCTGGGATTAATCATGCTTCTGGCATGAGTGCTGCCTGCCAGGAGGCTGAACATGAGGTTTGTGTGCTTGCTCCCAAGTGACCTGGCTGCAGTCCCACAATAATCTAAATGTGTACTGTATTTGTACAAATAGCACTGAGCTCCTGATTTCCACCCAGCATATTTTCATACACTAAATTGCCTCACAAAATAGCATGTTAGGTGTTTGAAAGAAATCTGAAGACGGGATTAGCTTTTCACTATTAATGCCCTCTCTAAAATAGGCATGGCCCCTGCCTTGGACAGTGAGAGCATTGCTAGTCCACTTTAATTTTTCCTCAGCTTCATTTTCTGGTTCTCAGGAATCATCTGCAGCATTTGATTGGTGTAAAGGTTTAGAGGGTTGTTTCAAACTCAGTTAAAAAGTTGTGGGTTTGGCAAGTAAGCATTACTGTGATATATAGTGCATTCTGGTTTCCATTAGCTATTCACTCTTGACCACTCTCTGGACATATGGAATTTTTGGCAAACATAGAGATAGAAAGAGAAAGAAAATAATCGCTGAATAAGAAATAAGGGAGAGGGGAGCATATGCAGATCTTTTAATTTCCTCCATTCCTTCATTCGCAGGCTGGTGAAAAGCCCTTGTACAGAGTCCCCTCCTGCCATGTAAATCACTTCTATTTCATGGGAGACGATGAAGTGCTTCACCTTCCTTATTTTATTTTATTTTCCTAGAAGAAAAGGTGGTCTCAGTCCCTCTAGGACTAGCTCTAGATCCTCCATGAGAAAAGACAACTAACTAATATAGGCTGAAGAAAAAAACCAATTATCTCCTAATGACCTAAAATCTTCTAAACTGTAAGAGGCTGTACCCCAGAGGGGTTTCTATATGAGGAGAAATTAAAAATCTCAAGGTAATTAGCAAAGAGTTTAAAAAAACAGTATGATAAACAAAATTATAAACTCTGAAATTATGGCAAATCCAGTGTTTCTATTAAACACGTTAGAGAAAGCTGCATGACATGAACACAAAATTGCAAAAGGGGAAAAGGAGAAAGATTTACAGATACAGTGGGTCAAGATCTGAGGAGGTGACTCATCTTCAAATGCTAATGATGCAAACTGCAGTGCCAAACTCTGTTGATTCTCTCCCTGGGGACAGCAAACCTTAATTTGTTAGGTTGTTAGTAGTTGGAGAAGCAGTCACCTTCCTTCCACCCTGTATGAAAATCTCCCCAGAACTCTCCAGATCACTGATTTGGTCTGGCACGGAAACCTTCCCCACCCCTCAACCAGGTCTAACTGAGCTGCGACGGAGTTAAAGCATCTCACCATGTTTCCACTGCCAACTTCAAGTGAACATCTTTTGGCCAATTTGTTTTTCTTTCCTCAGCCAAAGATTTTTTTTCCTAGAAAGCTGTCCGACTGTGCTCTCTGTACTGCTCCCTGCAAAGCAACACTTCAAAAATACACTTCCCTTGAAAATTGTCAAGCGGACTGAATACAGGGAACTGGCCAGTGCTTCTACATGGGGAGTTTCAAAACTAGAGACCACCTTATGAGGCTTTATGAGGCAGCTCTGGGGTGTTCTCTGCTCTTACACAGCACATGCTGGTTGAAAGTCAGGAATAAAATCTTAGCATTAATAAAGTCATCAGGAATTTTGACAGTGAGGCTGCAGAATTTCACCCACGATGGTTGATTATTTTTTTTTTGTTTCAGTCTGCAGACAAATACTAAAATAAATTCTGTTTTTCCCATAACCTATAATAAGCAATGGAGTGTAAACAAAATCTCTTTCATGTTGAATTAAATTTCTTGAAGCCCAAAAAGTGAGCCTCCTTCCCCAAGGTAAGCCTTTTAATGTGGTGGGTCACAGTTCCCTCATACCCTCCCTTTCCATAGCTCTTTCTATAGCTGTCTCTCAGTTGTTCTTATATAGTTTATATGTAGAAGGATGGAGTTGTCCTTTTCTTCTTGGTTGGAACAGATTTGTTGGAACAGGAGTCCTGGTCACAACTGTCCTCTTAGGTATTAAAATGATGTTGAAGCTAAATAAACATTACAATGAAGAAAAAGAAGAGCAGCAACTACAATATTACAAAGATCTGTCCACAACATTTGTTGAAAAATAATTGGCTGTTCCCTTCCTACATTGATAGCTATGCTTTAATTTGAGGAATGATATACATAATTATTTTAACTATAATTTGAACTTAGGAACAAAGTTCTCCTGCTCATTTGCATTACAGTCAAAATTGTACTTCTAAAACTAATTGTTTAAATGGAGTAACTTTCTCTTGACACCCTGCTCAACACATCTTAGGGGGCAAACTGTGTTGCAGAATAGGAGGTAAGGCTGAAAGCAACAAGTTACTTCAGACAGCAACCACACTACTACTTTATCTGCAAGTAGAAAACATTGAACAAGAGTATGCGAAACAAATTAAACAGAGCTCTCCTAACCTGAATCACTCGTTCTTACTGCTAACTTTCTAAAGGATTGCTGTACTACTGCAAACCCACTGCTACTCTGGATACACTTACCCTGTGGTAATTTTACTTGAAAAGTAAAAAGTTTCCTATTCCTAGTTTTAAATGCATTACTGCAACATCTGTTAACACAGTCTGAACATGCAAACTTTGCTGACATTTGTGAAGGACGGATATATGAAGTCATGGTTAAATTACATTGATTAGAAGAGAACAGAGATTCAAAGCAGAGTTCTTAGGGTCTGGAGCCCATCGTTGGTGCTTACGAAGCATCAGGACTCAGGATTTTGATGTATCAAGGGACTATGTCATTTGGCACCTGTACCTTTATTAAAGCAGCGGTTGTATATT